AAAAAGAGAGAGATTATAAACTCCAGCCAGATATACATTCTTACAGCTAAGTTATCATGTGATAATTAATAAAATAAAACTGCCTCCTTTCTGCCCTTCAACGTTTCAACTGTTTTCTCTCCGGAGCAGATTGGTGTTGTGTAACGACTGTGAGTTTTTAAAACCTGTAATGAAAGTTGGCTCCCTCGCTGTTGAGCACATTTTGTGTTATTCGCTTTATTCAGTCGCAGGGAGAAATGATCATGAGGATGCCTGCTTTCTCCGCCCCCCACATCGAGATCTCGCGATAATCGATTGCATTGAACCTACAGAGGAGGCTGCAGTGCCCCCCCCCTCCCCCCATTAAATACGTTTTAACCCGGTTTAAAATTTACATGTAGGGTTTCACACATTGTGGAAATATCTTTTTCTATCGCAACTTTTAATTTAATGGGGGAAAAAATCCGGATTTGTGTGACATCTGGGTTTACATCTGTAGGATCAAATTAAAGGATTAATAACAACTGTGCTCATGCACACTAGTTTCCATTATAAATTGGATATTAAACTGTCACGTAAAAGGCCTCAAAACGTGTTTTAAGTACAATTAAAAGCTGCAGATTTTAATTTTCTCCTCTACCACTGCATGAAAGAATACAAAACGTTGTTTGTAGCCCCCCCCCCCCCCCTCTCTATTACTTAATTTTCCATTTCATCTGGTTTCTTCTGTCAGTGTAAATCTTACAAACGCTCTAAATGTAGTTTCACTAAGAGAATTCAGTTAATGACTTAAACGAAGCAAGAGTGCTCAAAAATCCCCAAAAAATATCTACAAGAATAGGAGTGTTTATACTTAATTAAAGCAATGAATACATGTTTTCGTGTATCGACTCCATTGAATCAGTCAGCCGAGATGAGTTGGGTTCCGTAAAGTATTGACAGTTTAAGAGTACAGCTTAATGAAGTATTTTCAGTCTCTGATGGTAACTGTGTGTTTTGTGTCTTTCAGCGCCAGACCCTCGACATGGCAGATCCCGAACTTGATTCACGACAGGAGAGTCTGGCGATCCACCTACCCCATGCAGTGCTCTGCCCTGCGTAAGAACGGCTTCGTGGTGCTGAAGGGTCGCCCCTGCAAAATTGTGGAGATGTCCACCTCCAAGACCGGCAAGCACGGCCACGCCAAGGTGAAACATTACCCTCAGACCTGAGAGCGGCGTTAAGGGAAGGAAATCCATGATTAGTGTGAAAGCTTGGCAGAGAGCGTAAACTCAGCTCGCTTTAAAGGATCTCAGGTTTCAGACCACGCTGCCTGAAGTATTCCTGTCCTTATCTTCTTCTTCAAACACCACGGAGCTCCCTCGTGTACTTTGCCCTCCTCTTGGTCGCAAAAAGAAGAATTATGATTCTGGCTGTTTTTTAATTTGAATAAATGGTGTCTGAGTCTAAAACCCATTAATCTGAATTTAAGGGCCTTAAGACATTTAATTGGATTAATGACGTTAACGTTGTTTATCTAAAGTCTCTTTAAAAATCCTGTTATTGATAACTGCAAAACAAACCTACATGGAACCAGTACAGGTCTTCATATCGTTAGTTGAGGTAGTTTTTTGCCAGTATGGATGTGAAAAGTCTCTATTTATAATCTTTAAAAGGTCTTCGTCCTAAATTTAACTGATGGAAACCTGCAGAAAAACTTTTTATATTGATTAAAAAATGTCCCTCTTGGCAATCTGTAGTGCTTTTACAACAATGTACATCATCAGGGCTGTACGGTGTGGTTAAATATGAACCACAGTTCTTGTTTACACTGAAACTAAAAGTACGGTGTGAATTTGTTCTGTACCAGATGTTATCTTGCATCTGGAGAATCAGATTTATAGCTCAGCTCATTATAATGCAGGTGGCAGTTACAGTTCAGCACCATATTGTGATTTAGTTGTTGTGCGTCTTTTATAAACCTCATTCACCCAGACTGGTGTCTTAAATACTTAAACAATCAGTGTAATAAATAAATCTATGCTCCTGCAGGTCAACCTGGTTGGTATCGACATCTTCACCAACAAGAAGCATGAAGATATGTGCCCCTCCACCCACAACATGGACGTCCCCTCTATCAAGAGACAAGACTACCAGGTATGCAGCTCCAGGCGTCTCTGGAACTTTGTGTCACACAGATGTCACCGGTTAACTCAATTAGAAAGGACGTGCGTCTCCTGTGCCGGCGTTTCTCGAGTGTGAAGTTGAGCTCTTTGCGGTCAGGATGAAACTCAGCAGCTGCTCGCATCATTTACATGAGGATGTGAATCTGATTTTATAAAGATGAATCAAACCTCAACTGGAGAGAAGCAGAACATTATTTCAACATGTCAAGTGCAATAAATCTGCTGGTGATTAAGTTTTTATAGTGTCATCTCTCAGTATGAAGAAGGAATAATTCCTTGTGAGTGTAGTTAAATTGGCCCAAATTTCATGTTTGACACTTGAGGACAGAACTGGTTAGAGGTTGAAATCCAACTGAGGCATTAACCTGAAAATACTGATTATAGTCTGTCCTCCTCCTCCCAGCTGGTTAACATCAACGAAAGCTACATGTCCTTGATGAGCGACAACGGTGACATCAGAGAGGACCTGCGTGTCCCTGAGAACGAAGTCGGCAAGGAAATCGAGGCAAAGTTTGAAGCGGGTGATGATTTCATGGTAAGTGTGGAAAGAACCGCTGATCTGCGTAAGTCCTGGGCCGTAAGCTTTTTGAATCCTGTCTTATATTTGTTCACGTGCAGATGATGAAGCACAAAATGCGTCTTCAACGTGTTTTTATATAATTTTTAACCTTTTTTTTTTGGAAGCAGACATGATTCAGTCCAGAAAACGTGAGTGTGAGCTTCGTGTGTGAAGTTTCAGACGATTGACTCGAACGTGTCGTGTGCTCTCCGCAGGTCACCGTGATTTCTGCCATGGGGGAGGAATGTGCTGTCGCTACCAAGGTTTTGGCCAACAAATAGGAGACGGACTTTGCTGCCCAGGCAACAAGCACCACCCACAACCAGTCTCTTGCATTCTCATTGGTTCTGTCACCAAAGCGTCGGCCTTCACAGACAACCTCAATCATTCTGTTGTGATTTCTCTCATCATTGATCTTTTGTTTTTTTTTTTTTTGTTTTTTTTTTCCCCCCCCTTTCAATTTCGTCATTTTCATTGCTGTCGGGGGGAAAAGTTCCACCGCCGGCTCGCTGCGTGGTCTTTCTTGCCCTGATCCAGCTGAGGTTTTGATTTGGTAACATTTATATAAAACAACTTCAAAAATAATGATCAGTTGCTCATTCCTGCTTATTTTTGCCTTCGAAGTGTTGGTTTCGCCACTCACATTCCTGAATGTTTAAATAACAACGGGATTCAGCTTTTGTATGATTATTTTTTTATATTCTTGAATATAGCAGGTCTAAAGCCTTTTAGAGGGAAGGGAAGGGGGGCAGTTTTTTGAGTTATTAAAACAGTGGGAGGGGGAGGGGAGGGTAGCTCCTGTAGATACTAAATTGTGGTTTAGGTCGTCCCTCTAGCAGCCATACCGCTTTCCAGCATGGCCTTTGCTCTGGTTCCTGAGTGGAATGGGCGTGACAAGGTCTGTTTCTTCTCCTAATGGCTGGGAATGGTGGTGGCTAGCACTTACGAGCACTTGAGGTCCGCCCCAGCATGTCAAAGCTCTAAAAACCAAGAAAAGAGAAGTTTTTTTTTTTTTTTCTTTCTCCCCCCAAGAAGAACAGAAACAAACTTCAGTGATTTACCCTTGTGATGCCAGTCTCTTGTCTGTGTAGAAGTTAGAGGGGCGTGAGGGTCCTGTGCACTCACACCTCTCGTCCACCGGGGCAGTCGAGGGCTCCCCCCCCCGCTGCCCCGGTCTCCCCCAATGCTAAAAGAGTGTTATATCTTGTTTTGAGAGGCATGAGTGTGTAGCGGTGTGGGCCTCCGAAATGTGTGAGGCGGTTTGCAGTGAGGCGTGTGTTTCTTTTGAGGGACTCGATCGGGTTGGGGAGGGTGGTAGAGTTGCAAACTTTTTGTTCACTCGAGGCCTTTGTCACCTGACTGGAGATGGCAAAAATAAAACGATGAAACAAATGGACAAAAACTGCAAACGATGTCTGGTTTTGTGTCTCTAATATACCCGGTAATCTGTCGGAGTGAATGTGTGGCTCACTCCCTGATCACTGAAACACAATGGTGGACTTTAAAGGGCTCAAATCATTGAGATAATCTCACTCAAACCTGATCAGGAGGTGTATTTATGGAGGATGTGTTGAGGTTGAAACAAGTATAACTGCTAAAAACAAGGAAACGGATCATGAATTATGTTGTACTGGTTATCGACCCTTTTAAAAAGTGCTTATTCTTTAAAACAAATACTGACGGAATGAAATAAAGTGTAATGTTTTACTCAAATATTAGGAGTTCAGTCTAGAGTTCCTCTATTTGAAAAGTGTCCTGAGATAAGCTGTGAATGGGTGCTGAATAAATAAGTTTAAAGTACATAGTGTAAGGTGTCAAATACATTATCCAAAGTAGAAATTGTTGGTCATTAAAATGCTGATATAGAGTTCAAACTCAACAGTGGGTCACAAAGTCTGTTAACTGATGCAATAGCCACACTGACGCTCCTCTCCAGAGACTTTACAGCACCGACACAAACTCTATATAAATGTATATCTGCTTTAAAGCAAACCAGGTGGCTCACAACCAGGGACTCAATGGAAAGACTGCAGTAATTCAGATACTTTATATAAATGTGTACTGGTGTAACTTCACATTTTGACAAAAACAAACAATAAATGAATATAAATAGGATTATAAATGGGTGTAATGCTGGTTTTAAGTGTATCTACTGTGAGTAACGTTCAGGTGATGGTTGTCTCTTTTACATCAGCTGTGATTTAAGGTTCTAGTTAGAAACAGCCAAACAAAAAGCTAAAGGCAGTAGATCGAATGGTTGAAACTTCAGGTTTGTGCCGTTGAGCCTGTACATGAACAGTTCCAGGATATAAACATATATTGATGGTGACTTTTCCTCTGTGATAAAGACTCTCCTGTTGTGTGTCTGCATTTGAAGGCAGCAACAGACACACCCTGTGTGATTGGTGGCCGACCTCTGTCTGCACGCTGAGCCACAAATGGCACCACAATGGAAAAAAAGATGCATGTTGAGGTTTTTTGTTTTTTTTTCCTCTTTCCTTTCTGTCTTCACCCCTCGGACCAGTCACGGTTTCTCTGACTCATCAGGGTGGATTTTAGTTTCTCTCTGTAAGTTCATACAAACGCAGCTGAATGAACTGAGGCTGGTCTGAGGCCCAGGGCAGAGTGAGTGTGTGTGTGTGTGTGGTGTGTGTGTGTGTGAATGATTGACCAGGCTCAGCAGGTTTATTATCAGGGTGTGTTTGGGCTTGTATTTGACCTTTGGACTTGAAGCATCCTGTACCGACAGCTGCTACAAAACAACAGGCAGGATTTGAATTTAAAGTTTTTCCTGTAAAACATTAAATTTAAATGTAAACTGAAGCTAAAGGAGACATTTACGGTGATTTATGAAGTTGCGCAGAGCCAACAGTCTCCACTCATCTCTCAGTTTGGTGGCCGGAAGTGTTATTTAGGCTCTGATACTGGATTCACCATATTTGGTAAGGGCGGTCCACGCGGCACGCACCACGTCACTGCCGCGTCACGTCCGGTGCTCTCTCTTTCCCGTCCCGTCTCTCAACATGGCGCCGGTAAGTGACGGCAGCTCCTCGGGAATTAACGCGGTTTATTGTTAATTCCTTTCTGCTTTTTCCACTTATTCGAGTCTTTATCTGCTGGAACTGAAGTGAAGTGTTCATACTGCCGCTGGGTGTTCAAACATCAGCTGTTTATAGGGAAAATAAACCGATAAGATAGCGGAGTTAGCTCGTAGTAGCGTTTCTCACACGTGTTCCATTCATTAGGCCAGCCTCCATAAGGAAAGAGTGTGTTTTATTTTATATCAGTGGTTTTGATCCACTTGACAGGTGAACTTTATGTGTACTGTCAGTTTACATGTAGTTTAAAGCCCACTGGTCAGTTCGGCTCCACTAACATATTAGTTATCCTAATAGTTTATCATGTTTTTATTAAAATAGAAGCTGATTTGTATGTGAATTTACAACTTTCAAGAAATGAATTCTCAGTTTACTGGTTAATACAATGCAGGCATTAATGATTTAAGTTTCTACCTGTTACTATTAATTTATGTAGATGTTTCACTATGAAAAAAAAGCTTATTAAATAAATATATAATAACAAACTGTCTGTTTTTAATACTAGTCAGTTTTTACATTTTAAATTTAGGAATATGTAATAAATCAAATGTTATACATTTCTGCTAATCCTTTTTTGCATCTGTTAATTATATTAGGCATACATATCTATTTGTGCTCACTAGCTATGTAATAAAATGAAAGTTCTACTTGTAATTTGACCTGTAGCACAAAATATATTACTAATACTAAAATGAGCCTTTTATGAAGCACTATGAGAAGTATACATTAAGTCGTGGCAATAATAAAGTAAGAACTCCTATGAGAATTAGTGAATAGTTTAAAAAAAAGAAAGCTGGTCAATAAAAGTAAGAATAGTGACTTTAAGAGGAACAGAATCCGATCTGTGCTGCTGTCAACGTTTCTAATCCTGTCCCTTTCTCCCTCGCAGATCAAACAGAAGAGGCCAACTGTTGGCAAAAAGTCCAAAAAGGGAGCTGCATGGAAGTTCACCTTGGACCTGACCCACCCTGTGGAGGATGGGATCCTGGACTCTGCAAACTTTGTAAGTCTCACTGCAAGTTTTACTGTACTAGTGACACTGCTTCCTAACATACACACAGACAGCGAGCGAACGCGCCAAGAGCGTGAAAAACTGTCTGAACTGCGAGCAGTGTCGCAGCGACAACCCTTTGTCAACCTGTCACTATTAGCTCACAGATTTTATTCTAAACCTCAGAATGTTTGAGGATATCTTTTATAGAAATGGATCTGGCAGAAGCATTTCTTTCACAGCTATAATCCTTATTTAATACCTCATTTAATCAATACTACAATCAAATCAAAGGGTTAATGTAGTGATGTTTACAAGCAGCTAACCTGTGTCTGGACTAGGGCTCCCTTCCCTAGCTCCAAATGTACTAGGGTTCTCTTCCCTAGTGTCACTGTGCTCTGTCCGACAGGAAATCTTCCTCAAAGAGAGGATAAAGGTCAACGGAAAGACTGGGAATCTGGGTAACATCGTCCAGGTCGGCCGCATGAAGAACAAGATCAACGTCACGTCTGAGAAGCAGTTCTCCAAAAGGTGAGAGGAGATTTACTGTAGCTGAAACACAATTCTTCAAAGATTGTGTGTGTGCAAATTTACCAAGAATAGTTTTTATTGCACATTGAACATTCTGGGACTAAACGACCCCGTGTCTCCCCTGCAGGTATCTGAAGTACCTCACAAAGAAGTACCTGAAGAAGAACAACCTGCGTGACTGGTTGAGAGTGGTGGCGTCTGACAAGGAGACGTACGAGCTGCGTTACTTCCAGATCAGTCAGGACGACGAGGAGTCGGAAACAGACGAGTAAACAGCTGCAGCAGAACGTCACAGCTGTCTGTGTCAGCAGCTGGAGCTGGACAGGAGAATAAATGTGGAAAAATGGCTTTTCTGTCCTGTTTTTATTCTATGTATCTCTAAAACATCTAAATACACAACAGTGTTGAAAGGAAACAAAACTTCCACTGTCTGAAAAATAACTGAAACATCAAACTATAAGATTTTAAACAATAACTATATGATGATAAGGTAAAGCACACATAATTTAATTTTGACTCCATATATTTACTTTATTTGGTAGACAGTTGATTTTCTTTAAAAATAAAACAAATCATGTAACTTTAACATTAATTTGACGTGTTAAATAACAGATTTACTCTGGATCAAAGCACTATTGAAGTTCTGAAGAAAATAATTTGATTTAAGTCATTACTCACTGGATTATCCCATAAATACACTATAAAATGGCTCTTTGGTGGCTGCAATGATAACACTGGACAAAGAAACAGATTATCATTGTTCTTTTTGACCAATGTAATAAAATTAAAATATTATAAAGGTCAGAAATTCCTTTTGTTCTAACTGATTAACTATATGCATGATTTTGCTAACTGAACCTTATAAAGTGAGTGTACATTCATACAGGAGTTGTTGCTGATGTTTGTCCATACACCGGAGGTTGGGTGTGAAGCAGTATACTAAATACACACTAGGTGGTGCTACAGATAAAGTCACCACCTTATACATACTGTCAATAATCAACACAGACCAAACTGCTGCAGCTTAATATGACAATAAAATGTTCAATTATATTTAATCACTGTCTCCAAAGGGGAGTTTGACTTGAAATAAACCATAATAAACACATGATGTATGTTAAATGTGTCACATAAGCTCACATAACTACAGTGTACATCATTATTATATATAACATTATCCAACCCAATAAGCATCAGTTATAACATCACCACCCACTGAGGTGTTTATTACTCTGTGACGGATAATAAAAAGAAAAGTATTCAGTTGAATTCTTCATGTTAAAGGTCCAGTGTCAAACATGTAGGAGGATCTATTGGCTGAATATATGAATGGAGTCCGGCATGTTCCTACAGTAGTATAGAAAAAACAAACCAAACACTGGCAGTGTTTTGTTTTGTGGCCACCGTAGTTTCTCTACACACTTCACAGCCCGTTCTCAGTTAGCTGTAATCTGCAGCTTCACCACTAGATGCCACTTAATCCTTCACACTGGTCCTTAAAAATGTCTTACTCTGGGGTTTTTACAAGCAAATATTCATATTTCACAAAGGTTTTCTGGGAAATTAAAGAGTAGAAGTGAGCAATAAAAACTGTGACAAACAAAATGATCTCAACAGAATGTAAATATAAATACTGATTTTATTAAAGGTATAACACAAGAGGTAGGTATAATAATAACACTCCCACATTAAAAGGCGTAAAACTGTTCTATATGTTGTTGAGTTGGGTTCTTACATTATCCCAAGTGTTCCCAACAATGTTTAAACTCAGAGAAATCTGTCATTTTATTCAGGAAACTGCGTTTCACCGGTCGCCTGTACATTTTTGTCATATCTATTTTAACCTTCCTGTTAAACACAGGTTACATCAGAGAGTCATGAAGTCAGCAAACATGACCAAACCTATTTTTAATTTACAGTCTATAGCTGCTCTATATGGGCAGTGTCCTGAGATAATTTGGTGCTCTACAAATCTAATTTACTTTTATTTAATGAACTTAGCATGAATACAATTTTAATACATCACTGTGTCTGTGAGCATGAGTTATGTCAGAAAGATCATCTGCTCTGGTGGTTGTTTACCAATGACGACAACAACTCCCATGATCCTACACGACTTCACGACATCATCAAACCTTGTTCTCATAGGTTTGATGTTTTTCTACCTTTTTATCTCCCTGCTGAGACATTGCGGAGAGCTAAGGCTGATGGGAGACGAACATGTCCAGGAGCTCTGTGGGGAGGGCGAAGACCACGATGGACGCGCTACTCTGGACGGAGGACAACGACTGCAGGTATCTGAGGTGGAACGCCACGGGGGGAAGCCCTGACGCCGCCACCTTCAAAGCACGAGACGCCTTCACTTCTCCTTCAGCCAAAATCATCTCACAAACACAGACAGAAAGAGAGAGAGAGGGG